AAATCAATTTAACGCCTACTGAGATATAAATAATAGAATGAATAATGTCAGAGTCTATGATTTCTTCTTGAAAATAAAATTATACCAGATCAACACGTTTTTCTTCCTGATCCATTTACAACTATGTACTAATTTTCTGTTATGCTTAAATGTTGGCGGTTCACATAAAAAAGTCCATTACAACAACATTATGTTATTAATTACAACATTATAGAATAAATGGTTTCTCTTTGCATGGTTATCTCCTTAATAATCGTAAATTGAAGGTTAAAGTAGGTAGTAGCTTTTCCTCGTTTAAAAGTGTTATTCCTCAAGGTTCTCTTTTAGGGCCCCTCATTATACCTGATTTATAAATCTTATCAACCTGCTATATTAGTTTCTTAAATGTTTTGTCTATTACGATGACACCAAAATATATGGCAATATTATTATTAACTGTTACTTGACCTTTTCCGAATTGTCCAGTGGAGTGAACACTGGTTGATTTCCAGTAATTTCAATAAATGTGTTGTTTTGCGTATTGGAACCAATAACCCTAACCTGAACTTTTCTATTGGTTAGACATTGTTTGCTGAAGTCGACAGACTGAAGAGTTGTCCATAAAAAAGTTTTCTTTTCTTATATTTGAAAAATTGTTTACCAAACCAAACATTAAATCTTCTACTTTGTTTGTATAAGATTTATATTCGTCCTGTACTGGAATATGGTTCTGCAGTTTGTTTGTAAAATTGATCATAATCTTACTGGATCTGCCATGTTGATTTAAAATTAAATTAATATAGCTTAGGAAGGCATAGTATGTTGACTTGAGAAATTGAAAGATTACTGCATGTATCAATGCTTTTCCATATAAGGCAAATTTAAATAAAACTACTGCTGTATTCAGAATGAAAATTTAATTATATTATGGGTGTCAAAATTATAATAGGTATATAATTTTTTGTACTTATTCCAAAATATTGAGCATAAGAATTAATTTGTTCAACTTTTTAAAGGACCACAACATTGAAATTATTTACAGGTGGATAAACGTGGGGAAAAATAATGGTATCTAGCTGTGATAGAGCTATGGTTGATTTTGCTGTACATATAGTCTCTGTAGTTCAGTTTTCTCACAGGTCTAACAATATTAACATATCCATATTTCAGACCATACTAAAATCACACTGCACCTTTTTCACTCTCAAATAAAATTGTCTTATATGTATATGTATAGTTTATATTAGGTAAAACACTGTATTTAATAATTGCAGTATTTAAAACAAAATGGTGGTTTTGAGTACAGGGCCTTTCATTATTGGAAATACAATAGCAGTTTCTTCCGTATATTCGAGCAAAATGGTGGATAGGTAATGTTTGGAAACATTAGCTATAGCTTTAACTATTATTGAGTCTTTTTTTACTCAGACTTGGTTTTTAATTAATAACTAAATATTGAGTGCAAAAATAAATCACTCATAAATGATTAATTAGGATATACAGCATTAAAATTAATTAGACGCTATACAGCGTGTTCTGCAAATGATGAACTTTCAAATTAGGAGAGATATTGTAAAAATAATAATAACTTTTTTTTGATAGCATATATTAACCCTTGAAGTTAAGAGACGAAAAAACTGCTAAACAGTCATGGTGGTTTCAACACAGACAATAATTTAGGTTTCGATTGGTTTACTGATCGGATAAATAAATTGCCATAACCTATATTGTACGTTGCCAAAAGGTAATTATAGATAACAATTTAACTATCCGTTTATTTAACCAAATATTAATCGAGATTTAATATATTGTTTTTAATTGTTGTAATTAAATCACTGCATTTAAATACAATCTTCACTACAATAATCAGATAAACCGATACTTGTCCAACTCCAAAGCACACCATACGCCATACTGTCATCCACCACGCCACGATCCTAATGGGACGATGTCCAACAGAAAAAAGGCAATGAATCTGGATCTAAAAAAGGGTGGGATCGCTGAGTAATGAGGACATTTACTTTGATTTACACAAGTGGTATAATTAAAGTAGAAGTGAATTGAAAAACTACTATAAAGAAATTTACACTCCCTACAGAATTATGATATGCAACCCCCTATACCGCACAAGTCAACGACTTCTAGGCTAATATTTATACTTGTGTTTTTGTATGAAAAATTCTTAATCAGTTGTGTAGGTTTCGTATCTAAACTTGCCAGAAACACTGTAGTTTTAATTTTTCGTTTCGAATTTTTCGCAAGTAGAAACTTAAATTTAAATGTTTCAAGATGCATCATATTAATAGATACCTACGTACCTATTGATAATGCCTAATTTTCCAAAGAGTAAAAGAAAAATATTAGTAGTACATACAATTTACTGTAACTTCATTATACCCATAAAAATTTATTTAATTAGCATTTATTTATTTTTATACGCAAATTTCATGTAATATTCAACTCCCTTTCTACAGTAGTTATAGCTTCAATTCTATCACATATGCAGGCATGTTAAGAGTTGTTCCTGGTATCCATCCTGATTATGAATTATTGTGCAAAACATATTACAATAAATGGATTTGCTTCAAAAACTGAATGGTAGCAACATTGTTTATTTATTGTCACTTGTTCGGTGTAAAATGTTAGTGATATGTGTACCATTAAAGGCAAGAAGTTATAATCATCTTCACTGGGTTCGAATCACGGAAAAAATTCACCCAATTATCGCACAGAGACAGCCACCTCTATTACACCTATTCTTCGAAATCTTGACATAAATTATAGATATTCCCATTTGTGCTACAACTTTGTGAATTTTCGTAACTACTAGTATTTTTTGTATAGAATGTTTGTATTTTGCTTCAAGATTGTACTCTTGTCTTCCTTATACCTACTTTACCTACTTACCTACGTGTGTTGCTCCTGAAACTTTAATCATCATGACCATTGTTTAAATAAAATGTAGGTATGTAGGTACATAGAAATACAATTAATATAAATTTTCATAAAGTAGGTACTTGTTATTTTGTTAACGAAATTGTAGTACCTAAAGCTAAAAATACAATTTTTTGGTACTGTATGACATAAACAGCTGTAGCTGGTCGTATTTTCTGTAAACTCACTCAACAGTGCTACAACTATGTCAGTGTCTAACTTTCTTCGTGTTTGAAGTTGGAGAGAATCTTTGTTAAAATATTTGAATCATTAAATAGTTCTCTTCATAACATTCACTTTACAAAATTCATCTTCTTTCGAAGGAACTTTGTCTTTTTAACCTTCTAAACCCTCATTTCAACGCTGCTGATTACACTTTGTTTAAGTTTTGCAAATGGGCAACTGTGTATAATAAACTGTACTACAAATAATTGGTTGAATTCCTATACCCTCACTTAATATTAAGTTGCCATTTTTTTCTCATGTATGACAAAATTTATACCAAAACGTTATTTATGCAATTTTTATTAGTTTGTCCATTATATTAAATTTGAAGTTTAAATTCAATTAAAGAAATTGTTGCTCATTCCATAGTGTTCCTAAATAAATGAAGACAACAAATTTCGCGACACTGCCCACAGCAGAACCCCACTTATTAAAGCATCGCGCACACCACCTAATTTCCCTATTACTTTCCTCAACGAGCATTTTTTGCGCCCGCCCCACCTCACCGCCATGAGACAAAAAAGGAAAATTGGCGTAGCCGAGTGAGACCGAAATTACACGCTCAAAATGAATTAACCCAGTAACAAATTAATCATGTAGGAGAATATCCGCGGCCGCCGGGAGGGGGGCAATTCGACAGGGGGGCACTCGTTACCTTGGTCCCCGCGTGCCCTACTTCCCGTTTGATTGGCAGCCAGAAGAATGATTCCCCGCCTATGTTGCAATTGTCTCCTCCCTCCCTATTGGTGGATATGTTACAGAGGGGGCAATAAAATCAATTTAATGCTATCGTTCACTTGTTTAAGTCGATCGTGAAATAGTCAACGTGTCGTGACATAATCGCGAGAGAGAGGGAGATAGAGCTGGTTAAATAGCCTTTATTCAAGCGCGATATGTGTTGCCAACCCGCTCTCGGATTGCCGGCTAGGGGGAGAGACGGACGAGGGTTCCGTGGGGATGGGACAAAAATGGCAAAGAGCATTTTGTAGCTGGTTATAATAATGAGACAGCAGATGAATTAATCACTCACTCTTTCAAGATGCAGTAGTGCTATGTAACAGAAGAGTCCAACTAACAAGGATGAGGACCCTATAGACATTACTTTAGAGTTTTGGATAACCTAAGCACGATGAAGCATAAAAATATCGTTCATACTTCAGGATATGTAGAAGAATTTGCAGATTAATCTCATTTTTATTTAAAATTTATCAAGAATAGCTGCATATTCCTTATATGACAAAAATCTTTAGCCTACATTACTCAAATCACATGATATTATCCTCGAATGGTATGAAAATTATTTACCCAAAGCATCCATTTGACTGTAGCAATAAATTTGTAAATCAAGTCGTTACTTTACCACTATTATAAAATGTTACAAATTTAATGTAAAGTATAGATTATAGTGATAATTAATTTGAAGAAAGATTCATCAAACATTGAAGATAAATTGAATTACATCTAATCAGATTTTCTAAATCATCAATAACAGCGTCCCCAAAAGCTTTATTCTAAAAATTTGGTAGTTGTAGCAATTTCGGCAGCATCAGAAATAAAAAGGACCTTAACAAAGAGACAATTGTTCGCGATTATGAGGAGGGATAAATCAATTCAATACGGTACATGGACTCCCTGGCACATAATCAATTTGAATTAATACCAGACAACGACAAATAATATAATATGGCAAAATCACGCTAGCGTCACTCAAAGGCACAAATTCAGCGAAGGGTCATCAATTGTGCAGCCTGATTTGGGTAATAAATAGGGGGCGGAGCTCCGGCTTCCACGGACACGCCCCCAGAAGCATGGTCCCTCTCCACAAGTCAGCAAAGACTCAGTCTACTCCAGTTCATCGTCAGTGTAGCAACACAAAAAAGCTGGAAAGATACCGGAAGGTGTTTGAATCGGATCGTGACCGTCATCGTTGGCAGTGACAAAAATTGTGTTTAGAGTTTAGAGACTGTGCAGTTCCTTCGATGTATTCTACCATGGAGGAAACTAAAACAGACATTAAATCGAAAATCAGCTTTAGTGTCGAATCTCTGTTATCATCCACTAAACCCATCTCTGAAGATCGTCTCGAAGACCGCTTAGAGGAAGAAATTGAAGATAGCAGGTTGGATACATCGAGTGAAAGGCTGGACGACGAGGAAGATGATGAGAATATCACAGTTGATGATGATGATACTGATGGAAGGGAAAGTTTGAGCCCCAATTCGTCGCATACGGTGGTGATACCACAACCCCTTCACCCGTCGATGCCTAGGCTGATACCTGGAGCACATCCTCAGTGGCCTTTTCAGTGGGTCGGACCTGGAGGATTTAGGTCGTCCTCACCACAAAGTAAGTTCAAAAAAATTTTAAAATGAATTACTTAAAACACTGGAAATTTGGAATTTACTAAAAAAAGAAAACATTTGGAAAACCAAGAGATGTATCTGTATAGAACGAAAAATAATATCAATTTGTTAAATAGTAATTATAATGTATTTAATTATACTCAAAGAACAAAAAATATATACTGACACTTTTTAACCGTGCCAAATGAGGTGCAAAAACGTAGGTACAGAAATTTATCGATAGTAGATATCTGTTACTTTCTAACACCATTTGATTGATGTATTGTTGACAGACGCATTGTCTTTATAATAATCGGATTAAGGCGTATTTGTATTAATTATCCGTTTCTAAATTTTATTTGTGAAAGTATTTTTTTCAAACATCAAAACTTTGCTGATAATTAAAATCTAATGAGTACTATTGCCGTTATGTTGGCCTTGAGTACTTATACAGTGCCAACAAAGTCAAATCCAATCGATTTAACAATAATAGTGGCAATATGCATACAATAACCCCGTTTTAAATAAATTTAAATTTATATCCGAAAAATTCCTGAAAGCGTCAGTAATTGTTTATAATAGCCCACGCATTATTTGCTAATTTTATTAAACAATTGACGGTGATTACAATTGCAAAGGCAAAGAACTTGACACTTTATAATTTAATGACATTTCTCAGATTGCTATTTGTTTATGACATCGTTAAAACATTATTAACTTTGCCAACTAAAAAAACTGTTTACTACCAATAAACAATCTAAAATGTTATTAGTCAATCATTATGTTCAATTTGCAAAAATAATTTAGTTGAAAAGCACCGTCGGCCAGTTCTAAATATTTTATATAAATTGTTAAAGGCATTTTTTAGAATAGATTCACCTTGAAGTGAACAAAGGTGATTGAACAATGTAAATTTATTTTTTTTTTAATTTTATCTTCTGAAATAATTACCAATGACAATATAATTTTTTATTTCTTGAACTGATACAAGAGTAGGTTAAGGATATTGCATTGACTAACATTACGGTCTTCAATTTCATTTTATTACTGTTCAATGAGGTTCGTTCCCAAACAATAAAAAAAAACTAAAATTTATATCTCTCTAATTGCAACCAGTCAATGGAAACTTGATATATGTATTAAGAAAACGCAGTGCACCTGAGAACTTGCGCTTGTTTCCATATTCACTTGTTTTTCCAAGAACGGTCGACATTGCTTGTTTTTGCGCCTACTTGATGCATGCTATTCGAACTATTTGTACGTATCGATTCTCGATAGGATTCTAATTAAACCTGTGGTTATAATAGTTGGCTGTTCTTGTCAAAAATATTGTACAATTTAAGAGATATCAAAAACTTGTAGCACTTAATTTGTTTAATATTAGGTAAATGTTTAGGTACTTAACTTGCCTAAAATTTAGGAACTGGTACTTTGAGTATCAGCTAACTAATTCGAGGAATTAAATATTTAGTCAGAACACATTAAACATTTACCGAGTGTCTGTTTTTCCACACGCGCCATGGAAATTGTTTTAAGAAATACTTCGGTCAAATTAAAATTTTTAATTTCGTTTTCAATTTTTCATTTTGTATTTTCCATAAAAAGTACAAGAAAGGCATGGAATATTTTTTTGATAATTCAAATATTAGCCCATATTAGCTGTGTGATCCACATTTGTATAGGTAAGCACAGAGAAAATACATCAATCTGTTCTATGAACGGCACATCAGATTTTCCAATTTTTTAATGTAGTGCATTTTTTTATTACATTCAAAGTATTACCTCAAAAGAAATTTTGATGGTTCAGTCAAATTTTATTAGCAATATCAATGTTTTGAGGCCTAGAAATACAAGAACTTATTAAACTTTGGGTGAGGGAGAGATATGACCAACAAAGCTTAATACAAGTCATATATTGCTACTCAATGCATGGACATATGCGTTATGGGCTATATCTTACTCATATTCAAGACATATCTGCAGATATAGACACTCAAATCTTTCTTCGGTCGTCTCATCTAAGGCATACTGATGAAGATTAATATGTCGAAACGGGTCTATATCTCCTGAATCAGTTAATTGATTCCTTTAAAAATAGAACTTTGCCTTTGAAAATTTGATTGAGTAGATGAGTAGAAAATTATTTTCCAAAAAAATATGAAGATGTTTGGATATGTCACAAACAAAAAAAAGGCATCGTTAGCTTTACATTTGGATTAATTTAATATAATTTTTAGCAAAACATTAGAAATAGCAGTCTCTTAAATCATTAATAGTTAAGAAATCCTACACTGGTCTCCCATTGGACCCTTGAGGTACATCTAATTTCGCGTGACTTATGTTTGTTCTTAAAACCCCGTGATATTTTGGATTATTTTTTTAATTGTCTCGACTGATTTTTATTTGTTATTTTCAGCGAATCTGCCAAACTTGACAAATGGTGGGCCACCCATAGTTAGGTGCGCATTAAGAAAACACAAACCCAATAGGAAACCTAGGACTCCCTTCACGACACAACAGTTATTGGCCCTAGAAAAGAAATTTAGGGACAAACAGTACCTTAGCATCGCTGAACGTGCAGAGTTTTCAAGCTCCCTTAGGCTCACGGAAACACAGGTAAGAGTCGCTATAATTCCTTTCAAAGGAAAGAAAGCCAATACTAATATTTCTGTATAGTCTTTCCGAAGTCAGTTGAACATGTATAAAAACGCCTAGCAATAAAATGTAATGAGTTTCATAGGCGTCCTTAAAATAGTTTTCTGCTAAAGGTAAAAAATTATAGTAATTTGTATATAATGTGTAGAAAATTTCTATTATATGTTCATTTAACCAACAACATATTTTAATTATTTATGCCCTCAAACAATTTTATTATATTGATGGTAAATTTTGTTTTGTTCCGTTTCAAAAGGTCTTCAAAATATCCTTCTTATTTCTCCCTTTCGCATTTGCATAAATGATTAATAGAAGGTGCCTATAATAAATCAAAATTACCTGAATCACACCAAATTCCGCATTGCTGCACTGCACTGCTAGGCCACTAAACTTGTTGACAATTGAACTTATGTCCACGTCACCCAGTGCGGATGTGTTTGTGCCGCGTTTGCCCGCGCGCTCATTCTTCAGTTGGGCGACTAGACCTGTATATGGGTATGCCTAACTAAATATGGGAACAAGTTTTTCAAATACTTCAATGTCGAGTTGCTGCGATAGAACCTGGTACATACTGCCAACCTCTTGGTTCTTCAATTGAGATCAGAAAGACTACAGCAGTCACTTAATTCCCAACACTAAAAGATTGACTTCTATTTTCGTTTATCTTTATTATCTTTAATATTCCCTGCACTATAGCAACAGTATAAAACTTGTCCAATTTTTAAAAAAGGTATCAGAAGTCTTTGATAGGGAAGGTTAGGTTGAAGACATATATACTGACCTATCAGAAGGTTTTGACAGTATGGCGATGGTCTGTTTGTGATATATTGTTTTCCGATCGCTTGAGACTCAATGTTAACTATTTTATCCAGTCTTACCTATCGTGTAGATATGTTCATTGACGTAGTCTGTTGAAGTGTACGCAGGTGTACCTCAAGATCAAGTCTTAGGGCCACTCTTGTTTAATTCATATATAAATAACCTCAGCCTGAGTATTAATAGTAATACATGATATACGCTGATGACCGTTCTAGCAAATCTAAATCATCGACGACTGTTTAGAATTACAGTCTGATCTAAAAAAATTAACGCATGGAATGAAGCCAACTGCTTACCACTTAAGTTTTTGTCCACTTATGTATATGTGATTTGTGTTTCCTTTGTATTAATTTATTATGTTTTTAATATGTATAATACCGGGCACTAGTTTAAATAAATAAATTTTAGCATATTTTTCAAGTTGGTATAAGTCTGGTATTCTTGCAGGTCAAAATATGGTTCCAGAACCGCAGGGCGAAAGCAAAGCGACTCCAAGAAGCCGAACTGGAAAAACTGAGGCTTTCCGCAAGACCTCTACTACCTCCAAGCTTTGGTCTATTTCCCGGTGGCGCCCCCCTCATGTCCCCCTTCCTCGCCGCGATGGCCCACCGGCCGCCCACTTTTGCGTTCACTGGATCTATGCTCAATATCCCGCAGTGACTAATGGGGGGTCGTTGAAAAAATTATTCGTACCTATTTTGAACGGAAGTTTGACAGTTGAAGCGCTTCTGTTCGTATTTGGGTTTCGTTTCGTGGTGATATGGATTTGGCAAGCCCTCGCCTGTGAGTTTGCGAGGTTATAGTGCAATTCGCGAACGCTGGACGTTTGAAAGATTCTTGTCTCTATATATAAGACTGATTAGCAATTTCGTTCTATATTATTTTTCCTTTTGTAAATGTGTAATTATGTCTATTACTGTACAAAGAACTATTTAATTTTGTTGTATATTACTGTATATAGAGAAAAATATGAATATTAAATGTTTGTTTTTTATAAGCATTATCTTTTTTACATGCCCTTTTTGAATCAAACACAACAAGAAAAATAATAAGGTATTTTTTACCTAAAAATGTGGTTCACACATATACCTAGTAAAACTGTGAACAAAAGCTTTGATAATATTCTAAAATATATTAAAAACATCCTGTGTGGACTATATCCACAGGGAGATTTGTTTAAAACTTCCCAGGAAGATTATAACTAAAAAGGATATCTAAGATCTATAAAAAGTATTGAAGGTATAGTTCAAATAAGTTGCTTCAATTCTGTGAGCAAACAAAATTTTTCTTTGCAGTAATGGAGCACAAACCAAAGACATTATTCGATGACCTTATAGATTGGTCCAAGTTAAAAAATATTCCAAGCATCTTTTGCAATATAGACAATTTTCGAAAAATTATTGGTTTCCCAGATATATAAAAATATGTTTTTGAAGAACAAAAGATTTTTATCACATTAAGTTTATATTTTTTTACATATTAATTTTGGATGCCTACAATCTTACTTAATTTTTTAATAAATTTATATTTGTTCATTTTTCTAAATTATAAAAAAAAACGTTGAGCCCAGAAAACAAGTTTTTCACATAAAAATTTTTGAGAACGATATCAAGTAGGTTTAGGTAAACAGAATTCAACTTGTTTATGTGCACTATGCATTTTTTACTTATTTGTTTCTTTTTAGATTGAAAAAGAGAGTATATATTTGAAAAAAAATAATTCATACATTCATTCAAGCATTAAAAAAATATATACTTAAATAATATAAAATCAGGGTGTCTAATTAACATTTAGACATCAATGCTGGTGATTACAAATTCCAAAACTTTGGAAAAGTTTCCAAAAGTTATATTGCAATATTATAATTTTTGTGATTATATAATGCAAAAATTACCTGTCTAATAAAAAATAATAGAAATCAAAGTTTTAGGAAATGTTCTTTCATATATTTGCGTGGGGAGTTTGCACAATTTATTAGTTTTCGTCCTGATCCTGTACATAATCAAGATTGCCATGAAAGCAATACTTAATAGATCGTTGATAGTTCTTTGTTTACTTTAAGTTTCAGAGTCCTACATGGATGTCAAATTTGGATTTCTACGGGATCATAAAATTATTCCTTTATAGAAAATCTTATTTAAAAAATGTCCTCTGTCTGGAACATCATGGAAATATTGTTAAATGCCTTTTATAGTAGGTATAGCATTTTTATTTTAATAAAATATTTAAATATATGTTTAGTAAATTTAATAGCGAAAATGTAAAATATGCACTAATAAATATAGTAAATGTAGTAAAGGTAAAATATGCACTAGTAAAAAAATATGCACTAATAAAAGTAGTAAAAGGAGTAAACGTTGAAATGCCTTAGTAAAAGTAAAATATGCACTAGTAAGAAAATATGCACTAGTAAAAAAATATAGAGTAGTAAAAGTAGTAAAAGTAAATATGCATTAATAAAAGTAAAATATGCACTAGTAAAAGTAAAATATGCACTACTAAAAAATATGCACTAGTAAAAAAATACACAGTAGTAAAAGTAGTAAAAGTAAATATGCATTAGTAAAAGTAAAATATGCACTAGTAAAAGTAAAATATGCACTAGTAAAAAAATATACACTAGTAAAATATGCACTAATAAAAGTAGTAAAGGTAAAATATGCACCAGTAAACGTACAATATGCACTAGTAAAAAATATGCACTAGTATAATATGCACTAATAAAAGTAGTAAAGGTAAAATATGCACCAGTAAAAGTATAATATGCACTAATAAAAAATATGCACTAGTAAAATATGCACTAATAAATGTAGTAAACGTAGTAAAGGTAAAATATGCACTAGTAAAAAAAATGCACTAATAAAAGTAGTAAAAGTAGTAAATGTAAAATATACACTAGTAAAAGTAAAATATGCACTAATAAAAGTAGTAAAAGCAGTAAACGTAAAAATGCCTTAGTAAAAGTAAAATATGCACTAGTAAGAAAATATGCACTGATAAAGAAATATACAGTAGTAAAAGTAGTAAAATTATGCACTAGTAAAAGTAAAATATGCACCAGTAAAAAAATACACAGTAGTAAAAGTAGTAAAGGTAAAATATGCACTAGTAAAACTAAAATATGCACTAGTAAAAAAAATATGCACTAGTAAAATATACACTAATAAATGTAGTAAAAGTAGTAAAGGTAAAATAAGCACTAGTAAAAAAAATATGCACTATTAAAAAATGTACACTAGTAAAAGTAAAATGTGCACTAGTAAAATTAAATATGCACTAGTTGGAATGTAAACATTCTACCATTGAATATCAATAGTTTTTTGCTTCATAATATAATTTATTTTCAAGTTATTTGAAGACCTTTACATTACATTTAGATTTATATATTCTTACAACTTGTATTAGCAAAATTATTGTTTTTTTTTTCTCAGTGGGTTTATATGAAGAATTATATGTTTCTTTTGAAGGGGGAGAGCAATTAATAATAATATTTTCTATCTGAATCGAAGAAATTGGGAAAACTGAACACAGTAATGAATAAAATTTGTTAGAGCTTTGGTTTTTTTTTCGGTTTAATTTTTGACACGTTCCGCAACGCGGCAGCGCATCTGGGCCATCGTCGGCAAAGTGGCCGTGGTGTCGCGTCGCACAAAGAATTCACACGGTGCGGACGCGAACAAAAAAAATTGGAAAGGTAATTTATAGAAGCGTAATTACTTTTCGAATCGCACAAAGTACCAGCGATAGCAGATCGGGTAGCAACGCTCAGTTATTTATTGCAGCGAGGAATGCCGTCTATTAATAATTTAAATGTTAATTTGTTAATTAATGATACAAATTGCTTCTCCGATATGTGTTTTATGATTTCCCAATACGGCGACCGGCCGTTTTAATTACATATTTTCCTTCTGCGTAGTGATCTAGATCAAAGAGGCCTTAACGACGCTCGAGGACGGTTCATCAGTTTGAATTTAAATTCGCTTATTTCAGCGTTGGATTTCGCGCTAATTGGCAGGCCGAGAGCCTTTATTGGATTCTACCGGTCGTCTTAAAACTAAATGGCAATGTCCGAGAAGCGATGCTTTTCTCTGTAAAGCGGCGGGTACCGGGAACCTCTCTCGCGGCCGGAGCCACGAGTGAGACATAGAGACTCTTCCACTCAGAATAAAGATCTATTATTTATTAACGAGAAATTCGCGTTAAGCCGCCTTTTGCTGCGATTTTTGCATATAAGTAAATTTCTGATAATATCGCAATCAAAATACTTAAGAACTTCTTCAATGGGCACCCTGTATATACCTTATATACACATGGAGTGTTGCTCACTAAGGATCAAGACACCAGTCAAACATTTTTCGATTTTTTTTGGTCGTTCGGGTTGACGTTAAACGAAGAAAAATTAAAAATATTTTTAGGTATGCGAAAAATATTACTGGACTACCAACTAAAAGGGGGCAAAAGTTGCGACGAATTATAGAAATATTTTCAAAATATATTTCCCTTTAATTTTCTTGTTTTAGTAGATTTCTTAAAATTTCCCGAATATGCAAACTTTTCCGAAAATTCGTTTGAATGTGTATTATTAATGTATCCAAACGTTTTTGAAATGTATAGGTTGAAAAACGAACTTAATATTTTGTACAGAGACGAACAATTCGTAATTTAGAAGTTCAAAAAACTATAGAAATATACAAGGAGTTTAAAATGGTAGGTACATATTTTCGGAAACATACAAATTGTTTTGCCTAAGAAGAACTATTGCAAAGACTTAGTGCCGATCCTCAATTTTATAAAGACATTGTGTAAGTAAATGTGTAGGTATATTTAAAAGACGGACGAATAAACCTGTTTCATAAAAACATTCACTTCTAAAATATATTGTTAAAAGTGGAGGCAAAAGAAAAGCTTGGGCTTTGTTTTATATGTAACTAGATAAGTTGGCTGGCTACCTTATGAAAATTTGTTTTTATGTTTTTTCATATTTTTTAATATTCTTAAACCAAGTAGGAACATTTTTTTTATTGTTAGGTAAATATATCACTTTGTTTTTCTTTCTGTTACATAATTTTATTGTTAATACAATTTTTAAAGTTCTGATATCATTATTAATAATAATTTTATTATTATTAAATAATATTTTAATGCACGGTTATTATAGTGGGATTATTGGCAAAGGTCTCCATAATAAAAAATTACGGAAATTTATTCCCATTTATTATTTGAGAGCGGATTTATAAAATAACCAAATAGTTGCGTACGTATTATTTTTTATAAATCTTAATGAAAATCCTGCTCGTGAACATCAGTTTCTCTATAATATTCTAAATGCAATTAAAAATTTCCAGATGCATTTACTCGTTCAAGAGCGAAACATCCCTCAAAAAATAGTTGTTCTGTTTATAAAGAACCAAGATCTAAAAAGTCTCAAAATTTCCGATATTAATTAATAATAATTTAATAAATTTAATTTTGTGATAAAAGTGTGCAATAATACTTTATTATAAATTTAGCACATACCTATTTAAGAAGGTGCTGAATACAGAAGTGTAGACAGATTTTTTGAATTTTGGTCCACCAAAGAAAAACCTTGATTAGTAAAAATAAAATATGATATTGAAATGTCGATTTTTTTTATTGTTACGCCGCGTTGCTTATGTGCCTCATCATCGTCAGTCAAAGAATTACTTTGCACTTCCTTAGCTTTAAAAATGAATTTTTGACCTGTCGATGTTGCTCTTGGGCTAGACAAATCCGCTTCATTTCAGCTCTTATTGGTTCTAATACTCAGACAATGGTGATCCTCTGTAGCGTTCAGAATAGCCAATAGTATAAAATATGTAGTTTTACACAAATTTAAAGTGATTTTTGTTTAAAAAAAATTCCTATATTTTAATTTCAGCGATGTTGAATAATTTTCTTA